ATTATCAGGCATGCTATGCCCATTTGAACTCTAGCTGTTCCGAAGCATTGAACCTGCCCGCTAAGGCGGGGCGAATACAGTGGATTATCAGGCATTTGTTGTTTTTTTAGATGTTGTCAACGCATGAAATGAAACAAGCCGCTTCTCAATTTATCACACGTACTATAAAACAAGAAAGATTGAAACCCCACCCGAACGGGTGGGTAATTGGTACATATCATGCATGACATTCAATTCAAAATGAAAGCTATGCACAATGATTTTTGATAAGTTTTGCTTCTAGTTTACCAAGAACCGATTGGTCGGCCTACGACTCAATTTCAATTCTCCCTCCACACTCAACCTAAAAGGCTTTAGCCCTGGTGATTTCGTTGTTTTATTAAAGTTTCACCCGGACTTTTATTGAATGGTCATTTAACAAAGGTGCTGAGTATTTAATTTAGGTTGGTTGGACATGAGGTTTTGGGGCTTGCATGGCTAAAGCAAAGGGTACGAATGTCGAAGGTGGTTGGGGTTGACTCCGTGTAGTGTGTGGACTGTTGATTTGGTTCGTTGATGTGATGGCAGGTATGTGCTGTGAATCAGATTCTGGATTTGGTTGCCTACAATCACACATATACGTATTACTGTGAGAGACCCTGGTGAGACCATGAAAAGTGATCGTCACATACTTAACCCTTATACATGTATACATGGGTATACTTGGGATGAATGTTTGCATGGGTTGAAGAGTCCCTATATTAAAGCCCTACTCAGAAGCTGAGGCTAAGGGGCCCTAGGAGAAGCCTCTCCCTCTATTTTTGTTTCTTGCTTTTTGATGATTTTTCTTAATCGGACGTTTGGTCCTGGGTTGGGATTCGAGGTCCTTGTCCAGGATATCCCAAGCCCTAGGCTCTGCAGGGAAGGGGTTTTCCCTTTCGACAGTCTATTTGATTTGCCTACCAAGACACTCAGGCCAAGAGCCGGAGAAGCCGCGGCGGCCGCATGGCTATTCCTTCAGCCGTGCAATGTCGTGAAGGGTTAGGCCCTCACGACACTTCGAGTCTGACACTCGAGTGTTATAAGCGGTACTCGGATCCACGAGGGACCGCTTGATTATGGGCACTACATAGTACGCCATCGTCATGACTGCATGCGTACGCCTGCATTGCGGGTTGGTATGAGGTAGGCCCTCGGCTGCGCAACTTTATATTAAAATCCTGCGCGCGATGTTACTGCCCTGGTGTGTAAAAAGTTATGGGATTACAAAGGGACCGACACATATTAGCAAATGTTTGAGATTGTTACAAGCCGCCGACGCCGCGCGAAAAAGGGAGGGTGCCCCAGGGTTAAAATTTTGTTTACTAGGCAGGGAATCTTCGACTCATTCCTTATGTTTTGCTCTTTGCAGTTTTTATAGTTGGACGTTATAGTCTGTGGCCGGCGTCAAAGTCAAACCGCTTGATGTTCGACCGCCACGACAGCTTAAAGCTATTTACTCAACCCCTCTGCACAGGGTGCAAAAAAGGTTGTGGTTTTTAACCGCGCATGGCGGTTGTCCAGCGTCGAGAGATTAACCCTCAAGGCGCGTGTCAGCCGACACTTGAGTGTCGAATGCGGCCTTCGTGATTAACAGGGACCGCGCAAGTATGGGTACCACATAGTACGCCGTCATTGCGACTGCTTGCGTACAATTGCATTGCGAGTCGATATCCGATAGCCCTGCGTCCGCGCGGTTTTATACTGAGTCTCGTGCGCGACGCCTATACGATTTCCACATTGGAAAGTTATGGGTTGGATACCGAGGGGCTAGGAGCGTTGTCGCGTTGTTATGTTGTGTCGTTTCGTATATGTGTTGTTTTGTGGGTATGCGTGTTCGTAAAGTGGAGTGCGCATGGTGTGTGGGATGCGTCCTAGTCGACCAACGACGAACAGCGCTTTGGACCTCAGCCGCCCATGATGTCGGTTCGCGTGCGGGTCCGATAGAGGCGTATTACCGCGCGTGCCCCCTATGCTACAGCGAACGAGAAACGCCCTCGGCTGGTCCACCTCTGCGATTGCAGCTGATTAACTTTCGTACTGTGGACTGGTAGCTCGACGGGGATATGCCCACCGAAGGGAGGTGACAACTCCCGTAAGGTGTAGGTAAGTCGTGCCTCGCGTAGGCCCTATCCTGTCGTAGGGGCTCGCGACAGGTGTGGCTGGCCCACTCAGCCGGAGCGGCTTAAGGAAGCTCCGTATGTACAGATATAAAATAAAAAGAATGAATTCTATTATGAAATATTAGACAATACATAAAAACATATGTATTTTTTTGAATAAAAAAATACATGATATAATATTACTATCTCTTATCCATTGTTTATATTATTCTACTATTATTTATATTCTATATTAGATATCTTTGAATTAAATATATTCATTTTTTTTATTATTATATTATTATCAACTTACAAAGAAGAATAGAAAAATCTAACAAGAAGAGAAAAATGAAATAAGATGAATTTCATCATATCATATGAATCATAAATTGAATTAAATAATCTAAATATAAAGCAAAGTATAAAAAGACAAGAACTTATAAATAAATATATAGTAAAATAATAAATCGATTTATGAAAATATATTTCAATTGATATGTTGATTGCGACGAAGGATTTTAAAACCAACTCCTGCGTGACGCTGCCGGGAGGGTTCCGCTCTGTCCCTGTGCGGTGCCGGATCGATGCGCTCGACAGGTGGCGCCGTTACCGAGGATAACGGAAAACCTACCGTTGTCCCTGGTAGAACGACATCTGGGTATGAGAAGTGAATGAGAAAAGACATAAAGGAAGGACGAGGAAGTGAGAGAAGATAATGAGCGATTAAGTATAGGTAAGGAAATTTTACCTACCTGAGTAAGGGAAGGAATGAAGGGTAAATGTGTAGTATTGGGAAAAGGTACGTAGTAAGAGTTAGGTAGGACGGATGGAAAAGACTGGTCAAGGTATAATGTTGAATAAGGGGATGTGCTTATTTTCTTTTGTCAGGGAACTTGAAAAGAAGAGGCTGTCAAGATGCCTGAGACTGGCGGCGCATCAGTTGCTCCCAAGAAGGGCCTGCTTCTCGATGACCTCATCGCGGCCATCGACCGACATGAAAGGAACCCGAGCAACATCCCAAAGGTCGATACTTTCCATTTCTCTGGGGAGAGAGTCTCAGAATGGCTAGAGCGGGTGGAACAAGCTTTGGTCAGGCGGTCGGATGTTGTAAAGTTTCAACGCATCCTTCAGTATGTCCTCCACAGCTACCATCAGGAGGTGAAGAAAATCATAGATGCGGCTCAAGGTAGCTGGGAGAGGTTTAAGGAGGGGATGCAGAGGAAGTACCGCTTGGGAGACGGGCTATTGACTACCGCAGACCTTGAGGCGATGAACAAARAGGATTTTACGACAATAGGGGYCTTTGTTCAAKAATTTAAGAAGAGAGYGCRGAAGGTCYATGGGATTTCGGAGGAAGCACAATGCGCCATCTTCCTGGGGCTACTCACGGCATCGGAGGCCGTCGAGTTGACGAGGCATGGAGGAGGTAGCACTAAGCTCACCTGGGCCACCATTGACAGAGGGGTGGAAGTTGGGTGTTTAGACCAGGTGGAGCAACGTCAGGTACGCCTGCAAAGGCAGAAGAGAAAGGAAAGAAATGCGACTGCTTCTGGGACCCCGGGGGTAACAAGGATTGTTACAGACGTGTTGGCACAACTAGGGTATGCGACGGAGCCGGTGGTGCAAAGGAGGGTGGTGACGGCTGTCAAAGTAAAAGGAAAGGAGCCGGTGATAGACGAGGCTGTTCAGGAGAAGCTCTGGGAAGAGGAAGAGCCAGTGCCGCAGCACCTGACGAAGGTCCAACGCAAAGTGCGTAATTTGGCGCAGGGCGGACAGGGATCAGGAAAAGCGCAGGCGCCTCAGGCCCAGGCAGCAACCCCTTTAAATGTGGCGGCTCCATCATCTAGTACGAGCCCCTCGCAAGGTGGGGCGCCCTCCTACGGACAGTGGCCCTGGCCGGTGATCAATGCAATTGTGCCATGGGGAAGCCCGCCGCCAGCAGCCGGACAGCAAACGAGTATGCCACCGCCCATCTACCCCCCAGCCCAGGCCCAGCCTGTGACCCCGCCGCCATCACCTGCTCCTAGTTCACAGGGCAGTGTGGCAGGAGGTGGGAACCAGGGGCAAGGCAATCAAGGCAACGGAGGGAGGGGTAGAGGAAGGGGGTGAGGCAGGAATAGCGGCGGAAGAGGGAGGCAATGGAATGGTCAAGGCCAGGGGAATCAAGGCCAGGGGTACCAAGGCCAAGGGAGTCAAGGCCAGGGGTACCAAGGCCAGGGGTACCAAGGCCAGGGGGATCAGGGAAGTCAGGGGTACGGAAGACCCCGTTTTGACTGGAGGACGGCCATCTGTCAACATTGTGACCAGCAAGGCCACACTATAAAGTTTTGTAATATAAGACGGGAAGACGAGAGAGAAGCGGACTGATTTCCTCCACTATATGGATGGGAATATCTACGATCAGTTTAGGGAGGCCATTCACAGAAGGCTTGAAGGAGTGAGGGCTGAAGCCCAACGAAGAGCGGCAGCTGGGCCGCCACCCCTTGCCATGTTCAGGCTATGGCAGGAAAAGGAGGAACCACCGATTGGGATAGAGGAAGTGGGTCAAAGGCTACGAGGAGGAAGTAAGACGGAAGAACCCATAATCATCGAGTCAGATGACGAGGATGAGGAGGAAAGAATGGAGTCTCCGTCCGTCTTATTTGGGAAGATGGAGGACCTGCTGGATAAGATAGGGAGGTACCAACAGAAGTTGGTGGGCCTCTGTGAGGAAGTGAAGGGAAGGAGGTCTAACATCCTCAAAGTGTTCCTCTATGACTCTGGCCCGGAATCAGCGCCTGGGCGACCCGGAGTAAATGTGGTGGGATCGTGCCCACAATCGGGAATGAGGGGGAGGCCCCTCACTCCGCAGGCCCGGCTGGCACAGGCAGCGAGAACGAGGAATCAAGCCAAGGCCAGTGCCAGCCAAGAGCCTCCGAGGAGGGAACCCGAACCAGGGAGAAGGAAAGAGGCTGTGGAAGTAGAGGACGATGATGATGAAGGGGAAGAGGACGAGAGGCTGCGCAGAGAAGAGGATCAGAGAACGGAGCAACGGGCGAGAAAAAAAGGGAACCAGGGGAGAGGCCGAGCCAGTCATACGTGACGGACCACCCAAAAAGAAGAAATACGTGGTTCGGTTGGAAGAGGGATTTCACGTAGAGAGAGTAATTGACAGGCTGCTGGAAGGGCATAATGATCGCATGACCCTGAAGGAAATCCTAGCGTCAGCCCCGCGATTCCGCGATGGACTGAAGGGGAGATTGTCGCGGCGCCTGGTACCCAATGTCCATCTGGATACGATCCTGCCCAAGGAGGCTGAGTGGGCAGAGTCGGGGACGAAAATGGATTTGAAGTGTGTAGCCTGCGGTACGGTGGATTTGGTGGTGAAGGGTTCCAAGTGTGCGGCAATGGTGGATACCGGGGCCGAAATGAACATCATTCGGGAGGCGGACGCAATCAGATTTGGGCTGGATATAGAACGTTCTGACTGCGGTATTCTGCATGGAGCCAGCTGTAAGGCCGTGTTTTGCGGGACAACCTCGAGTGTGCTCATCGAGGTTGGAAAGGTGAAGGCCATGACATGCTTCTTCATAATGCCGGGCGTGGACCATGGAATCCTCCTGAGGACTCCTGAGGAGGTCATTCCTAAGCAGGACAGAGACCGTGATGTTCAACAAACATGACGGGACTCTAATCCTTCTCTTATGCGATCCTGCCTGCGGGAATTACGAAATAATTACCTGCAGGAACACCGGGCCAAGGAGTATAAGGAACCGGCCCAATCCAGGATCATTCACAATCGAGGAGTCAGAAGGGGAGCGCAGGAGGCTCTGGGCAGAGCCTGAAGCAGGAGAGAGGGTGGAAGCATTTTCCCTCAGCTTGTCGGATGTTGGGAAGGCCATAGACCTGGTGGCCGCGCATGAGATGGCAGATCCGGATGCCATCCAGGCCTTGAGGGAGCAAGTTCTGGAATGTCCCGAGGTAGGAAGGTTGGAGTTGGTATATCGGCTCCCAGGCAGCGGAGGGCACCCCGCATCAGCGCAAACACAATCCGTGACTCGACCTTTTTTAGGGGACGGCTCAAGCAGAGTTCCCAAAGGCGGTACAAGACTGTAGACAAGAAGTGCCGCCCGGTTCCCGTCCTCGTTACAGAAGACGAGGAAGCATATTACGAGAGGGAACGAGGGTTGATACGATGAATGGGGGAAAGTGTTCATAGCCTTTCAGCAAGCTCACACTGCAGGTAGTTCACACACAGGTGAGTATCCCGAACTTAACAGAACAGCCAATGTTACTCACGAAGGAAATCAAAGTTCGCAATACTACAGGGCGCACACCGCAACGCTCAAAGCTATTTTCGATAGGAGTTCTCTCGGTGCCTTCCTCTTCCCCTTCCCGAACGTCAACTGTTCCGCTGAGCCGGCTCCCATTAAGGAGGCTAAGAGTTCGCGGATGGCCGAGACTTGTCTGCTCTCAAATCTTCTTTTTACTCTCTTCAACTATCTCAGTCGTACGCAGCTCTGCCCTTGCTCTGCCCGCACATTTTACTCACTCTCACCCGCAATTGTACTTACTTTCTCTCATCTACCCCGTTCCGCTTTCGCTCGCCCGTTCCTCCCTTTTTCCTTGCCTTGGTCTCTCGCCCGCTCCACTGAGTCTCCCGCTCTCTCTCTCCCTCTAGTGATGCAGCAGAATGTGTCTATCAATCAGTCCCGATGCACCTGCCCAAATCTATCGCCCGATGCGCTAATTCTGTTATTCCATGAACAACATCATTAAATTTTGCCTCTCTCCTCCTCCCCGAGACCGCTCGCTCTACTCGGATTTTTCCATCCCAGCCCCACACGCCTCCAACCTCGTCATCTCTCATCGGGGATTAGGGGCAGTGGTGCGTGGAAATCACTTACCCGCGCAGATGACCGAGTGAACCTCCGCATGACCATGATCCTTGACGGGTTCCAACTATCGGAATAGCTGGTCTCTTTACTCTGGGGGAGAAAGATCTGATGACGTCACTTTGAATACGGCTGCCCCTACGTAACGAACTGGTTCGGCGTGAAGGTACTGTGGCTCTCCATCTCAGGTCGTCTCTTCACAGCCTGGCCCCGTTCCGCAGCAGAAGCCAGGAGCAAATCGGAGAGCGTGGCGACCTCGCCAAGAGGGAGCGACTGCCGCCACATTCGACTGCTCAATTGCCTGTGCTCTCAGCGAGTTCTTCCTTTTCGACCTTGTCGACTTCCATTGACTCTCTCCAGGCAGGCTATACACGACGATCTCATCCCCTGAGGCTCCCTGTGCGACCTCCTTGCTCTCGATGAGCATTGTTCTCTCTCACTTCCTCCGCACGCACACGATAGGCCGCGCGACTGCTGAACGAACTCAACAGTGAGCAGCAGCTGGGGACGCCTGACTCACTTCGAACCCCGAACCCGCGAGTAACAGAACCTCGAAGCGGGTTGGGCGCGCACGGCTCACCTGTATCAAACTGGAATCGTTGGCCGGGCACAGTGCGCAGTCTTGCCCCGCGGCTCACTTGCGCTAGTAACTGCCTCGCGCCATCTCTCGCTTGCTTGCCCGCGCTCGAGACTGCAGTCCGTTGGGTACGCCTGGCATGCCTCCCTCATTCCTGTCTCTCCCTTCTCGCGCGGAACAACCACCCCAACACTCACGCGTCTGCCTGGTCCTTACAGCCGCGGGTACACCTTGGTCGTATCCCCCCTCTCCCGTCCTAATGCCTCTCCCTATATGCAGCCGCTGCAGTCGCCTTGTGCGTCAACGGACGTGAGAGTCTCCAAGAACACAGGCAAAGAACCCGAAAGCATCCGAGGCCTAGAGCACCACGAAAATGCAGGGGTACCGGACCCCCAGAGTACCATGAGCCAGCTTGTAATCCCAATGTGACTAGTGGTTTGAACAGGAGGTTTCGCGACCCTTTTCGGTCAGAGGTACTAGATTGGCACCGCCATGTCAGCCCCAACTCGGTCTAGTTCGACCTTGCGAGCTGTACCAGAAGCTGTTGTACCAGTACCGGGCAATACCGAGTTATTAGCGACGCCGAATATCGTTCCGGACCTGAAAGTAAGCAGTCAACAGCGGCTTCACGCCTATGCTTGATCGTTACCAAACCTSAATACAAGGCAGTGGTAAGCGCCGTACCGATGCCGACCGCAGAGTGCAACGACCCGATAATAAATACCAAACCTGCCTCTGTACAATGCCATACGTGCACATGGAGATTACCATAGGGAAAAGTCATTCCGGAATAACACCGARCCAACTCCGAAGCTGATTGCAAAAGTCGAGGAGATCCTGCAAATGATGCGTGACGTGTGGCTTATCSTTACCGTGYSTGGCATAAATTGCCGTARTGGTTCCAGGCCCGAAAAATTAATAGGAGTGAGGGCTCCGAACTTGAAACAATTGGCGTACCGGTGCTGAAGCCGAAATAGGCCGCTGAAATGGCCCAAGCCTGACAATAAATCGCACTGATGCCGCCGAATCTAAAGTTGACTGCCGTAATGTCTCCGATCTTGAAAATCAATTACAACCATTGCCCCCAAACCTAAAATAAACCGACGCCGAGCCCATACCGAACCATCCCCGAAGCCTGAAGCATGCGGACGTCGAGGTAACGTTGTACCTGAAAAAAATAACCACCGTAGCGATACCAAACTGAAATATATTGTCGCCAAACGCCGTCGCAGCACCAGACCCGAAATAAACGCGTCGTAGGGGTACCGAAGCGGAATTAAAGCGCCATGGTCGAGCCGAACCTGAAAATAACTTTGTGTGATGACTTCGAACCTGAAGATAAGCCGTGGTGGCGTCACCGAACCTGAGGTAAACCGCCATAAACGGCCCGAACCTGAAATTAAATCAGCGCGATGGTTCCGAACCTGATGTAAATTGTCGTAGCAGCTTCGAACCTCGAAATGCATCAGCGTAGGCGTAGCAGACCTAAAACTGCAATGCTGAAAATAAGTCACTGTAGTGGTCCCACGCCTGAGACATACTGATGTCGGCCCCATACTGAACCAGAAGCCCGTCGGATACCGTAGGATGCAGGCACTCCGCATCAAACCGAACCTCTCCGAACCGTGTATCCCTACCAGGCCAAACACCATACATACCGTGGGTCCGAAGTAACACCATCCCACGCCATCCATGCGACCACCCTCGGACTGGCACAGTAAAATTAATA